CCACTCTCTATGTTCCATGTGGGTACATATTTATTAGCACCAATTTATTAGACCTATGGGAGAACGTGATATTTGAATTTGTGTGCTTGGTTTGTTTCACTTAAGAAAAACTCAGAGCTTTACATTTACGTTACTGCAAAATACCAATGATTTTACTCTTTTTTATAGCTGGAATAGTATTTCATTATGTATATTCCACCACTGTTTCTTTATCTATCTCAATCCACTGGATGGAACATTTAGTTTGGATTTCATATCTTTGCTAGTGTAAATAGGTGTGTGGATTTAAACATACAACGTATAAGTGCCTTTTTAGGTATAGCTGACTTCTTTTCTTTGTGTAAACACTAGTAATGGGATTCCTGATCACTCATTATTGGCGGTTCTATTTCAGTTTCTCAACAAATCTTCATTACTACTTTCATAGAGTTTGTACTAAATTTTCCCATCACAGGAGTATAAGCATTTCCTTTCTCTGCATCCTTGTCAACACTTATCTGTTCAAGCCATTCTGAGGGTAAGATCATATTTCTCTAGGCGTTTCTAGTTGCATTTCTCTGATTGATTAGTGATGTTGAACACTTTTTCAGTAATAGCCTGTTGGCCATTTGTCATCTTCTTTTGAAAATTGGTCTGAGTTCATGTTATTGCTGGGACTTTTTTAATGAATTATTTGGGGGATTTTGTTCAGTTGTTTGGGTCTTTGTATGACTCTGGGTAAACTAGTCTCTTTGTATTAAATATATTTGAAATAATTTCTCTAATTTTTGTAAGTGTCTGTTTCATCCTGTGATTATTCTTTGGCTGGCAAGAATGCTTAGTCTAATCAAGCCCGTCGTTTGTTATTTTTGTTTTTGTTTCTGTGCCTTTGAGGTCTAGTCATGAACTTTTGCCCGTAGGACCAATGTCTAGAAGAGTTTTCCCTAGATTTTCTTCTGTATTTATCATTTGGGGTCTTACATTTAAATCTTAATTCATCTTGCATGCATTTTTGTACATGGTGGCAAATAAGGTTTTCCAGTTTTTATTTTTCTGCATATGGCAACCCACTTTTATAGCACATTGTTGAAAAGGAGCCAGCACGGTGGCTCACGCCTGTAATCCTAGCACTCTGGGAGGCCGAAGTGGGTGATTGCTCGAGGTCAGGAGTTTGAAAGCAGCCTGAGCAAGAGCGAGACCCCATCTCTACTTATAATAGAAAGAAATTAGCTGACAACTAAAAATATATAGAAAAAATTAGCCGGGCATGGTAGCGCATGCCTGTAGTCCCAGCTACTCCGGAGGCTGAGGCAGTAGGATTGCTTGAGCCAGGAGTTGAGGTTGCTGTGAGCGAGGCTGATGCCACGGCACTCACTGTAGCCTGGGCACAAAAGCGAAGACTCTGTCTCAAAAAAAAAAAAGATTTTTCCAATATTTTCTTCCAGAATTTTATACTTCATGAACTTAGGTTTAAGTCTATATCCATCATGAGTTGATTATTGGGAGGTGGTGAAAGGTGTGGATCCTGTTTCAGGTCTTCTACATGTGCTATCCAATTTTCCCAGCACCATTTATTGAATAAGGGTTCTTTTTCTCCAGTGTATGTTTTTATCTGCTTTGTCAAGATCAGATGGCTATATGAGGGATGAATTTATATCTGGTTCTCTGTTGTGATCCATTGGTCTATTTCTCTCTTCTTGTGCTAATCCATGCTGTTTTTGGTTGCTATAGCGTTGAGTACAGTTGAAGTCTGGTAAGTGGATGCTCCCGATTTGTTCTTTTTTTTTTTTTTTTTGAGACAGAGTCTCACTTTGTTGCCCAGGCTACATGAGTGCCGTGTCATCAGCTCGCTCACAGAACCTCAAACTCCTGGGCTCAAGCAATCCTTCTGCCTCAGCCTCCGGAGTAGCTGGACTACAAGCATGCATCACCATGCCGGCATAATTTTTTCTATAATATATTAGTTGGCCAATTAATTTCTTTCTATTTATAGTAGAGGCAGAGTCTCGCTCTTGGCTTCAGGTGGTTTCGAAACTCCTGACCTCGGGTCATCCTGCCCCCTTGGCCTCCCAGAGTGCTAGGATTACAGCGTGAGCACCACAACCTGGCCTGTTCTTTTTGTTTAAAGGCTTGCCTTTGGCAATATGGGTTCTTCTCTTGTTCCATATGAAGCATAGATCTTGACTTGGTTAGTCTAGCTAGCATTATCAATCTTGTTTATCTTTTCAAAGAGCCAGCTTTCCTTTGTTGATTCTTTTGTTTTTTGTTTTGGTCTCTATTTCATTTAGTTCGCTCTGATCTTGTTATTCATTTTCTTCTGCTAATTTTGGGTTTGTTTTGTTCTTGTTTTCTAGTCCTGAGGTACAACATTAGCTTATTAATTGAATCATTTTACTTTTTTGTTGGATATTATGGGGGTACAGATTTTAAGGTTCAATAAAATGCCCATTCCCCCCTCCCCCCACAAGTCTGAGTTTCAGCATGACCATCCCTCAGATGGTGCACATTCTCACTCCATTATGATGATTATACCTGCCCCCACCCCTCCCACATGCCCAATACCCTCTTACCTGCTAATACTATGTGTCCACTAGGTCGCTGGTCAGTGTAATACCAGTTTGCTGGTGAGTATATGGTGGTGCTTGTTTTTCCATTCTTGGGATCTTCACCTTAGTATATGGGTTCCAGCTCTAACCAGGAAAATATAAGATGCTGCTATATCACCGTTGTTTCTCTAAGCTGAATAGTTACTCCATGGTATACATTTTACCCATTTTATTACCACATTTACCATACATTACCACATTTTATTAATCCATTCTTGGATTGATGGCACTTGGCTGTTTCCACAGCCTTGCAATTATGAATGGCTGCCAAAAACATTCGAGTGCAGCTGTCTTTTTTGTAGTGTCATTGGATCTTTGGGCATTTTACTTTTTTGGATGTAGGCATTTAATGCTATAAAAATTCTGCTTAACACGTAATTTTACTGTATCCCAGAGATTTTAGGTATGTTGTGTTTCATTTACATTCATTTCAAAATTTGTTTAAATTTTCATCTTAATTTCTTCATTTACCCAAAGATCTTTCTGGAAGATGCTATTAATGGCCATGTTATTTTTATAGTTTCTGAATTCCCTCTTATTATTCACTTGTACTTTTATTCAATTTGGCTCTAAGAAGATACTTGATATGATTTCAATTTTAAAAATTTGTTGAGATTTGTTTTTGTGGCCTATCATATGGTCTGTGTTGGAGAACGTTCCATGTACTGATAGGAAGATATATATTCTGCAGTTGTTTGGTAAAATATGTATGATTTCAGTTGCTATACATAGGCCTTAGTGTGGTGCTTTTTCCAATGCTGTGTTGTAGTAGCTATAAACCCAGTGGGTTAGGTGAGCTCACAACCTCCTGGTCAGCCACAGTGATATGGATGATGATGGCAACACTGGTCACGAGAAGTTTTCTTGTTCCCATACAATGTGCTCTTGTGTTAGCAGTTTTATAATGAGTTGTGTGGCTGTCCGCTGACTATGAGGTGCACTAAAAAATAAGAGCCAACTTCAGTGGTGTGGTTAGGATTTATGCCTGACCTTTGTTAACTGGGAGAAGTACTTGGGTATCCCAGGTGGTGGATTGGCTGTGGAACCCTGAGGGCCTGGTTCTCATGATGCACAAAAGTAGGCAGAGCTAGACTGCAAGCCTGTCTACTCAGCCCCATAATGAAGGGGTGCAAGTGTCAGTCTTGAAGGGGGGTGGTGAAGTCCTCAGGCCCTAGTTAAATGCCTGGGGTAAAGGGAAACTGCTGCTGAGTCAAGTTCTCCAAAATGGAAGCCAAGAGCAGTCCCAATGCTGCAGACTTGGCTCGCGGGGAGTGGAACCTGGTTCCATTTATGACCCAGTTACTGCATGGTTGTCTTCCTCACCCTGCCTGTGGTAGTCTATAAAGAGGTATTCCAGTTTGACTCTATAGGTTGCTTCTAGTCTGCAACATATCTCTGGCTGTAGAAAATGCTCCCTCAGTCATTCAATACCAAGCCTTCAGGGCAGCTCTCCTTCTGCTCAGGTTTTGGTTGTTGTAGGAGTCCAATTTGAACAGCTTTTGAACTTGTTTTTAAATTTGGGTTTTCTAATATTTTTTCATGATATACTAAGGGCTGTGAATTTTGTAAGAATTACTACAGGAGTTGATTTACCTTTCTCAGTATCATCCATAACAGGAAGTACATGACATGGATGTCTATTAACAATAGTGATATTAAACTTGATTAAGATTAAGTAATATTCCACATGGTTCTCCACTATAAAGTTATAATTTTTTGCTTGTAATGAATAAAAATCTTGGTTGGTGATATTTGCTTTGAGACTGGGAATATTCTTTGCTCTTAAACTTGTCACCCACTGTTTAAAGCCTCCATTTTGGAGTTTTGCTTGTAACAATTATCATTCTGATGTTTTATTGTCAAATTTGTGTATCTTTCCCATTCTCTTCTATGTTTACTAATTTGAGTTTTTGTCTAAAGCATAGTTTATTTCTTCTTCAATATATATTCATCTCATTCATTACTTATATACATCAGTTGGACTAATGGATATTTATTTTATAATTATAAATCACCTATGGAAATTAGTTTTGTTGATCAAAATTTTCCAGCCTGGTCTTCAAGAAGTATTTTAGTTAGCTTTCAATTAGTTCCTAGGCCCTTTTGATAGGCTCTTACTAAACTTTTAATTTTGAGATAATTTTAGATTCAGAGGAGTGCTAAAATAAGTGTATAGATAGTTTTTGATACATTTCACATAGTTTTCCTTTATGTTACATTTTACACACCCATAGAGTAAAGAATGAGCCTTATTATTGGTTTGGAATTATTCAGATTATCTTTGTATGACATGTTATACACATTGATTATTTTAATATGATTATTTTATAATTATTAACATATTTATTAATACGTATGCTAAATGTTAAATAATTTTTTAGTTTACCACCAATAGTTGACTACATAGATGCACAACTTGAGGCTATCTTCAAGAAGAACTGAAGATTAAACGTTCATTTTTTGGAGTACCAATGATTCCCGAGTCCACGTGTGCCTTTACTTCATTTCACCTACAGAATTCTCTGAATCCCTGATCTATACAATGAAGAACATTGACAATCGGGTAGTTTGGTAAATACATCAACCTTTTAATATTTAATATTAATTTAGAGATAATAATAATTTTGAGGGATTTGCATACAAGTACAGTTTTGTGTAGCTTAATGACAGGAGTTTGTTCTGAGAAATGCACCGTTAGGTGATTTTGTCATCATGGAAACATCATAGAGTATACCTACACAAGCCTAGAGAGATATAGCCTATTACACACCTCGACTATGTAACCTTTTATGGTATGGCCTATTGCTCTTAGGCTACAAACCTGTACAGAATGTTTCTATGCTGAAAACTGTAGACAGTTGTAACACAATGGTATCTGTGTATCTAAGTGTAGAAAATACATAGTGATTATAATCTTTGGTACCACCATTATATACTGCTGCCATCATTTACTACATGTATTTATGTCATACATGACTATATTTGTTATTTGTAATATGTGTATACTTCATAATTATTTTTTCTGCTAATATTTGAAGTATTTGCATTATTTTTCTAGGGCTACCATAGCAAAATACCACAGACTTGCGTTGTTTAAACAGTAGAAATTATATTTTTTCAGACTCTTTGGAGGCTAGAAGTCCAAGATCAAGTTTCAGCAGGCTTGCTTCTTCTGAAGTCTCTATTCTTGTCTAGCAGATGGCTGCCCTCTCTTTGTATCCTCATGTGGTATTCCCCTGCTGTCTCTTTGTGTGTCCAAGTTTTACTCTTATAACGGACATCAGTCAGATTATATTAGACTCCACGGTAACAGACTCTCATTAATTTAATCACCCCTTAAAAGGCTCTGTCTCAAAATAGATTATGAGGTACTAGGAATTTAGAGTTTCAACATATAAATTTTCGAGGGACACAATTCAGCATTTGATAGATTTCAACCTTGACTTACTTTCCAGAGAAATGTAATAAAATATATCAGTTTAAAAAATAAAATGCAGGTAAAAATACTAAAATAAAACCTTCTTAATTTTTTCTCTGATTAATGGTAGTTCAGATCATGGTCATTTACTTATTCAGTAGTCCTCCTTTAGCCCCATGGATAAGTTCTAAGACCCCAGTGGATACCCGAACCATGGTATAATACTGAATCCTGTATACGCTATGTTTTTTTATATACATATACCTGTAAAGTTGATTTATAAATTAGATACATTAAGAGACTAATAATAATTCATAATAAAATAGAAAAATTATAAAATATACAGTAATAATAGTTACATGAATGTATCTTTGTCAGTCTCTCAAAATGTCTTATCATACTGCACTCACTCTTCTTGTGATTATGTGAGAAATACAATGCCTCCATGATGAGATGAAATGGAGGTGACTGATGGAATGATTCACATCAGGGTGAGAGAAAGTAGGACAGTGTGCAAGCTCATCACAATATTTATAATGCATATAATTAAAAACTTATGAATTATTTATTTCTGTGAAATTCCATTTATACTTTTTTTTTTTTTTTTGAGACAGAGTCTCGCTTTTTTGCCCAGGCTAGAGTGAGTGCCGTGGCGTCAGCCTAGCTCACAGCAACCTCAAACTCCTGCTCGAGTGATCCTTCTGCCTCAGCCTCCCGGTAGCTGGACACATGGATGCGCCACCATGCCCGGCTAATTTTTATATATATATCAGTTGGCCAATTAATTTCTTTCTATTTATAGTAGAGACGGGGTCTCGCTCTTGCTCAGGCTGGTTTTGAACTCCTGACCTTGAGCAATCCGCCCGCCTTGGCCTCCCAAGAGCTAGGATTACAGGCGTGAGCCACAGCGCCCGGCCCCATTTTATACTTTTGAACTGCTGTTGATCACAAGTAACTGAAATGACAGAAAGTGAAACAGCAGATCATGGAACACACTTGTGTTTTATAAATTGATTTTACTCTATGTCACTATAAAATAATACCATTAATGTTTGACTAGTACCACTGATGGGATGAAGCATAAAGCTTTTGTCATGCTGGCTACAGGGCCTATTAGGGAGGATTCAGAATGCAGGAGCACGTAGGCAGCTACTGCTTGGTATATACAAACAGCCAAAAAAGCATGATCCTTTCTAGCAAAAGTTTGGGACACAAATAGACTGTGTTTCAACAGGCTGGTTAAGTCTCAAGACTTTAGCAAAATCTTGATAAAACTTATATGAGACCCTGTTCATTTGATTGATTTTTCTAATCATTCAGTGGTTTTTCATAGTTTAGTTTCATTGTATAGAAAATAATTATATTGTATGTATATAAAAACCAGCACATGCAGCTTTGTAGTCTTATCCAGACAGAAGGAATTTTAATGTATATGTAGAAGCCACAGGGTTTTCTCTCAGTGGAAGCAGTTTTTGAGTATTTGCTTTATCATGTGTCGTTCTGTGACCTTGGGAAAAACGTTTAAGATTTCTGTGATTAAAAGCATGGGCAGTGAGTTCAAGCTTTTAGCTTTCAAAACCTGACCCTACCGCTTGCTGGTTATGTGGCTTTGGGAAAAATTTAAAGCCTAAATTTTTTCTCTATAGTATTTGTGCAACTCTTCTGTAAGTCTAAATTATTATACATAAAAATTAAAAATTATATATATTTTTTAAAATAGAGGGCCAAGGTATATATAAAAGAAGCTGTCACTTTATCAGATTGTTTTCTGCACTCAGCCCTGGTAAAACATGCTGTCTTCAACTTTATTTAGTTGGAAAGAGAAAAAGTTCTAAAGTTGGGTTTCTTTTAACAAAGGAATCCTAACTCTGCTATGTATTGTTCAAACTGAAAAGAAACTTGGTACTTAATCTCATATGTCATTAAGTAGTTGAAAGAAATTAGATTTCTAGTAAAATTAAAATCTTCTTCAAGTTTTTAGTTAGCAGTACACTAAACTAGTCAGGAACAAAGAGTTTTACTTTTAATTTTATGATCACCTGTGATCATCAAGCCATTTTTCAGATATAGAAAACCCCTAGTTTTCACAAGGACCATTACATAAAGAGGTGGGCAAGAGAGTGTATATGTCTGCTGCCTTCTCCTTGAAGTTGTTCAGTTTTCCTTGAAATATTAAAAAATGCCTTTCCCCTCAAATCTGAACACCTAAAGAATTATTGACAAGAAAAGTTTTGGGTTTTTTTTTTTTTTAAATTTCAAACTATTAAGGGGGTAGGGACGTTTTTGTTATGAGACTTAAGTCAGGGCCATAAATGTGCCCATCACCCAAATAGTGCTCATTGTATCCATTAGGTGGGTTTTTATTCCTCTTTTCCTGCCCCCCCCACTTGATTTCCAATGACTTTTACTTCCTTCTGTGCACTTGTGTGCCCATCAATTAGTTCCAATTTATTGGAGTGTACAGGTGGTGTTGGTTTTCCCATTCTTGACATATTTCACTTAGGATAATGGTATCCAGTTCCTTCCAAATGGCTACAATTCATCCTTTTTATGGCTGAGTACTACTCCATGGTATAGATATACCACATTTTGTTGATTCACTCATGAATTGATGGGCACTTGGGTTGCTTCCACATCTTTGCAATTGTGAATTGTATTGCAATAAACGTTCAAGTTTAGATATCTTTTTGATAAAATGACATCTTTACCCTTGGTAGATATGCAGTAACGGGATTGCTGCATCAAATGATAGGTCTACTTTTAGTTCTTTGAGGAATCTCCATACTGTTTTCCTTAGAGATTGTACTAATTTGTAGTCTCACCACCAGTGTATAAGAATAGTGTATAAATATTTATAGTGTGTAAATATTTCTTTCTCTCTGGATTCACACCAGCATCTGTTGTTTTGGGGAATTTTAATAAAACCCATTCTGACAGGAGTAAGGTTATATCTCATTGTGGTTTTAACTGGCATTTCTCTGGTGATTAGTTATGTTGAGCATTTTTTCCTATGTTTGTTGGTAATTTGTCTACCTTGTTTTGAAAAACTTCTGTTCATGTTTTTTGCTTACTTTTTAGTGGGGCTGTTAGTTTATGTCCTACTGATTTGAGTTCTTTGTAGATTCTGGATATTAGCCCTTTATAGGATGCATAGATTGCAAATGTTCTCTCCTATTTTGTAGGTTGTGTATTTGGTCTGTTGATTATTTTCTTAGCTGTGCAGAAGTTTTTAAAATTTTTTTTTGAGACAGCGTCTTACTTTGTTGCCCAGAGTGAGTACCATGGCATCAGTCTAGCTCACAGCAACCTCAAACTCTTGGGCTCAAGCGATCCTCCTGCCTCAGCCTCTCGAGTAGCTGGGACTACAGGCATGCACCACCATGCCCGGCTCATTTTTTCTATATATATTAGTTGGCCAATTAATTTCTTTCTATTTATAGTAGAGACGGGGTCTCGCTCTTGCTCAGGCTGGTTTTGAACTCCTGACCTCGAGCAATCCACCTGCCTCAGCCTCCCAGAGTGCTAGGATTACAGGTGTGAGCCATTGCGCCTAGCCAGAAGTTTTTAAATTTAATAAAGTCTCATGTATGTATTTTTGTTGTTACTGTAATTGCTAATGGGGTCTTATTCATAAATTCTTTGCCTAGGCTGATATCTAGAAGTTTTTCTTCCATTTTATTCTAGAGTTCTTGTGGTTTTATGCCTTACATTTAAGTCTTTTATCCATCTTGAATTAATTTTTGTGAGTGGTAAGAGATAAGGGTCCTGTTTCATTCTTCTGCATGTGGCTATCAAATTTCCCCAGCACCATTTATCGAATAAGACTTCTTTTACCCAGTGTGTAGTGTTGTGTGCTTTGTCAGCAATCAGCTGACTGCATGTAGATGGTTTTATATCTGGGTCCTCTGTTCTAGTCCATTGCTATATGTCTCTATTTTTGTACCAATATCATGCTGGTTTTTTTCTTTTCTTTTCTTTTCTTTTTTTTATTACTACAGCTTTGTAGTGTAGTCTGAACTCTGGTAATGTGAAACCTCCAGCTTTGTTCTTTTTGGTTGGTATTCCTTTGGCTGCTTAGGCTCCTCTCTGGTTCCAAATGAAGCATAGAATTATTTTTTCTAGGTCTGTGAAATATGCCATTGGTA